CTCAGCTCACTGCAAGCTCCTCCTTCGGGTTCACGCCATTCTCCTGCCTCAGCCTCCCAAGTAGCTGGGACTACAGGTGCCCGCCACCTCGCCCAGCTAGTTTTTTGTATTTTTTAGTAGAAACGGGGTTTCACCATGTTAGCCAGGATGGTCTTGATCTCCTGACCTCGTGATCCGCCCATCTCGGCCTCCCAAAGTGCTGGGATTACAAGCTTGAGCCACCGTGCCCGGCCATTTTTTTTTTTTAATTTAAGATGGAGTCTTGCTCTGTCACCCAGGCTGGAGTGCGGTGTTGTGATCTTGGCTCACTGCAGTGTCTGCCTCTTGGGTTCCAGCGATTCTCCTGCCTCAGCCTCCTGGGTAGGTGGGATTACAAGCATGCGCCACCACATCTGGCTAATTTTTTTTTTTTTTTTTTTTTTTGAGACCAAGTCTCACTCTGTTGCCCAGGCTGGAATGCAGTGGCATGAGCTTATGAGTTTTTGTTTTAGTTATCTATGGTTCATCATTTAGATTGATAAGACCCCTTGTAAAATCCAGTTTTTTGGTTTTGGTTTCTGCTGCAGGAATCAGAACAAAACTCACTTTCTAGATAACATCAAAGGTTAAACTTTGTGCATAGGCTTTTTTTTCAAGGATATGCAGCCTCAGGACTGTTAATGTTAACTTTTTCTGCACAGGAATTTGGAGGACTTTTATGGCAGGTGCTGTACTCCCACTTTACAAACAAACATTGGGGCAGCCCAGGCAGCACACCTTTCTGGATTTACCAAAAATACACATTTTCCTATTCTACTGTTGCTTTACCACATGGTTCAGTTGTAGCCTCAGAATTACTTTATAGAAGAAACTGAGTGTAGACAGAGAGTATGAGGTCTGATGGTCATGGAATAATTGTTTTGAGTCCACAGCATCATGAGAACTTCTTGGGAATAGAGTATAGGCTCCCAGTGCTGTTAGTCTTACCCATCCTCCTCTATGCATGTGAGATGTTTCAGGATTCAGTGGCCTTTGAGGATGTGGCTGTGACCTTCACCCAAGAGGAATGGGCTTTGCTGGATCCTTCCCAGAAAACTCTCTATAGAGATGTGATGCAAGAAACCTTCAGGAACCTGGCCTCTGTAGGTAAGGGTGACAATATTACTTCCCTCAGTAAATGAGAGAACAAGTATTTTTAGTTCATGTATGCTGCTGAGTGATTTACAGTGTGGATAGGGAATATTTGACAAATAAAGGAAGCATGCTTGCAGTGTACCATGAACATAGAATCAAGTAATTTTAAAAATAGTTTTATACTAATTCAAGATTATTTTCCTTGTTCTGTGTTGTAGGGAAAAAATGGAAAGCCCAGAACATATATGTAGAGTACGAAAATCTAAAGAGAAACCTAAGGTAACTTGCACCAGTAACAAGACAAAGAAGTGTCTCTTTAGAAAATCTTAGAATGGGAGAAAATGTTTAAAAAAAAAAAAGGAAACAAAATAAGCACAATTTCAACCTATTTATTCTTAGAAAATTTTCTCTGAACACATATTGAAGGGTGATGTAGGCTTGACACAATGGCTCAGGCCTATATTTCAGCCCTTTGGGAGGTTCAGGCTGGAGGATCACTTGAGCCCAGGAGTTTGAGGCCATATTAAGCCACAATGGCATCACTGCACCCCTGCCTGGGCAAGAGTATGAGACCCTGACTCAAAAACAAATTTAAAAAGACAGATATTTAGTATTTGTAAAATAGTTTACTTTAAAATAGTATTCAGAGAGGCCGGGTGCGGTGGCTTACGCCTGTAATCCCAGCACTTTAGAAGGCCGAGGAGGGCGGATCACTTGAGGTCAGGAGTTCAAAAGCAGCCTGGCCAACATAGTGAAACCCTGTCTCTACTAAAAATAAAAAAATTAGCTGGGCATCATGGTGGACACCTGTTATCTCAGCTACCTGGGAGGCTGAGGCAGGAGAATTGCTTGAACCCAGGAGGGTGAGGTTGCAGTGAGCCAAGTCTGCCCCACTGCATTCCAGCCTGGATGAGAGAGTGAGTCTCCATCTCAAAGAAGAAAAAAGAAAGAAAGAAAACAAAAGAAAACAGTATTCAGAAGCCTTCTATCATCTTTTTTGATAATAGATATAGCTGGGCCATCTTGTAGAGCCTGTGGTCCATTCAAATTCAGACAGGGCAGAAATCCTACAGTTTGCAGGATGATGTTAAAAATGGAAGTGCAGGCCAGGCATGGTGGCTCACGCCTGTAATCCAAGCATTTTGGGAAACCAAAGCAGGTAGATCACCTGAGGTCAGGAGTTTGAGACCAGTCTGGCCAACATGGTGAAACCCTGTCTCTACTAAAAATACAAAAATTAATGTAATCTCAGCACTTTGGGAGGCTGAGGCGGGTGGATTACCTGAGCTCAGGAGTTTAAGACCATGCTGGGCAACATGGTGAAACCCTGTCTCTACTAAAATACAAAAAATTAGCTGGGTGTGGTGTCATACGCCTGTAGTCCCAGCTACTTAGGAGGCTGAGGCAGAAAAAGTGCTTGAACTCAGGAGGTGGAAGTTGCAGTGAGCCAAGATCACACCACTACACTCCAGCCTGGGCAAAAGAGTGAGACTCCATCTCAAAAAAAAAGAAAAAATGTAAGTGCAATACTTGTGAATGAATATAAAATCACTGATAAGCAGACCCATTCCAATGTACTTCTCATTGTTCACAGAACTTTTGTGGGAGAGAGATTCTTTGAAAGTAAAGAAGGTTATCAGCATGGAGAAATTTTGACCCTGGTTCCAGATGACATGCTGAGGAAGAAAACTACTGCTGGAGTCAAATCATGCAGAAGCAGCGTGTATGGAAAAGTAGGCAGTGCTCATTCATCTCTTAATAGGCCCATCAGAGATGACACTGGACACAAGGCATATGAGTATCAAGAATATGGACAGAAACCATACAAATGTAAATACTGTAAAAAACCTTTCAACTGTCTCTCCTCTGTTCAGACACACGAAAGGGCTCATAGTGGAAGGAAACTCTATGTTTGTGAGGAATGCAGAAAAACATTTATTTCCCATTCAAGCCTGCAAAGACACATGATAATGCACAGTGGAGATGGGCCTTATAAGTGTAAATTTTGTGGGAAAGCTTTGATGTTTCTCAGTTTGTATCTTATCCACAAACGGACTCACACTGGAGAGAAACCATATGAATGTAAACAGTGTGGGAAAGCCTTTAGTCATTCTAGTAGCCTTCGAATACATGAAAGAACTCACACTGGGGAGAAGCCTTATGAATGTAATGAATGTGGGAAAGCATTCCACAGTTCCACATGCCTCCATGCTCATAAAAGAACTCACACTGGGGAGAAGCCATATGAATGTAAACAGTGTGGAAAAGCCTTCAGCTCTTTCCATTCCTTTCAAATACATGAAAGAACTCACACTGGGGAGAAGCCATATGAATGTAAGGAATGTGGAAAAGCCTTCAAGTGTCCCAGTTCTGTTCGAAGACACGAAAGAACCCACTCTAGAAAAAAACCCTATGAATGTAAACATTGTGGGAAAGTATTATCTTATCTTACCAGCTTTCAGAACCACCTGGGAATGCACACTGGAGAGATATCTCATAAATGTAAGATATGTGGCAAAGCCTTTTATTCTCCCAGTTCACTTCAAACACATGAAAAAACTCACACTGGAGAGAAACCATACAAATGCAACCAATGTGGTAAAGCCTTTAATTCTTCCAGTTCCTTTCGGTATCATGAAAGGACTCACACTGGAGAGAAACCTTATGAGTGTAAGCAGTGTGGGAAAGCCTTCAGATCTGCCTCACTCCTTCAAACGCATGGTAGGACTCACACGGGAGAGAAACCCTATGCATGTAAGGAATGTGGAAAACCATTTAGTAATTTCTCTTTCTTTCAAATACATGAAAGGATGCACAGAGAAGAGAAGCCATATGAATGTAAGGGTTATGGGAAAGCATTCGGTTTGCCCAGTTTATTTCATAGACATGAAAGGACTCACACTGGAAGGAAAACCTATGAATGCAAGCAGTGTGGCAGATCCTTCAATTGTTCGAGTTCCTTTCGATATCATGGAAGGACTCACACTGGAGAAAAACCCTATGAATGCAAGCAATGTGGAAAAGCCTTCAGATCTGCCTCACAGCTTCAAATCCACGGAAGGACTCACACTGGAGAGAAACCTTATGAATGTAAGCAGTGTGGGAAAGCCTTTGGATCTGCCTCACACCTTCAAATGCATGGAAGGACTCACACTGGAGAGAAACCCTATGAATGTAAGCAGTGTGGGAAATCTTTTGGATGTGCCTCGCGACTTCAAATGCATGGAAGGACTCACACTGGAGAGAAACCGTATAAATGTAAGCAATGTGGGAAAGCTTTTGGATGTCCCTCAAACCTTCGAAGGCATGGAAGGACTCACACTGGAGAGAAACCGTATAAATGTAAGCAATGTGGGAAAGTCTTTAGATGTTCTTCACAACTTCAAGTGCATGGAAGGACTCACTGCATAGACACCCATAACCCCAGGCTTTAGGAGGCTGAGGTGGGAGGACTGCTTAAGCCTAGGAGTTCAAGACCAGCCTGGACAAAATGGTGAGACTCTATTATAAAAATTAGATAAATAAAAAGACTTCCAGTTGGTGATAATGGCAGTTGAGAAATCCATGGCTGGGAGACAATGGCATCTGCTGGGCAGGGCAGATAAGTGACAGAGGGAGAATGGGTGGGCAGGGGGCTACTGGAACAAAATGGTGGTCTGGGTCCCACAGCAGCAATGACTTTCAAGGCCAGGGAGAGGTGGGAAAAGGTGAGGGCTCCCAGGATGCAATGCCAGAGACATGGTGATGTCCTTAGGTCCAGGACTGCTGGGGGCAGTGGCACCTGAGGGAGGTAGGTGTGGAAGGGCATCCTTGTGTGGACTGGGGAGGGAGCATGAAGGAGCACAGGGTAAAGTTCAAATCATGGTTGAGGCCAGTTCAAGCTAAGGGTAAAAGTGCCTGGGGGAGGGCATGAGAGTCAAGTCAGGTTTGGGCGACAGGGCAGAGAGTTTCTAAGTTGTATGTGTCTGCTGAGGGATCCAGCATGACTGGGTCCAGTCAGGGAGTTAGGGGCATTCAGAGTGAAGGGTTGGATCCTGGACATTTGTGCAGGCCAGGAGGGAAGAGGAAAGTGGTAGCAGGGAGCATAGAGTCCATGGGTATTGGGTGTGTGTCCTGTCAACCTCACTGAGGTTGACATTCTCCTGAGGCAGGAGAATGGCGTGAACCCGGGAGGTGGAGCTTGCAGTGAGCCAAGATCGCACAACTGTACTCCAGCCTGGGTGACAGAGCAAGACTCCATCTCAAAAAAAAAAAAAAAGAATTATACAACTAAAAATAAAGGGCCAGATGTGGTGGCTTACACCTGTTATCCAAACACTTTGGGAGGCCAAGGCATTTTTTTTTAGTAGAGACGAGGTTACACCGTGTTAGCCAAGATGGTCTCGATCTCCTGACCTCGTGATCCACCTGCCTTGGCCTCCCAAAGTGCTGGGATTACAGATGTGAGCCACCGCGCCCAGCCTTAGCTGTTTATTTTAAAGTATTGGGATTACAGGTGTGAGCCACCGTGTCTGGCCAGAAAGTGACATTGTTTACTTGCCACAGGTCAAGAACCCTCTACAGATAACGTGTAGGTAAGTTATGAGGCCAGTTTTCCCGAGGGCTCTTATTAGTTCCATAAGTCAACTTTGCTTCTTTAAGGAAAGCATGCCATTCCAGACAAAGCCTTGGTAAAATAACCAGTTTTTCCAGTTGTGTCCTGTTACAACGGAAAATAGATTCTTACTGCACTTATGCAAATAACTATACTGCCATAAGTTGAGAATAATCACAAGGTTTTTTTTTTTTTTTAATTCTGGAGAAATCCAGTACAGGTAAAGCAATATGCTCAAAATTTTTTGCTTCCAGGAGTATACCTTATTCAATTGCTAAATGTTCTAAATAGCTCAAAAGAAAAGGTTTTCTTGACACTAAAAAAAAAAAAGAATTTGCAATATTTAACACATCAGCTCTTTTTGACAGTCCTGGAAGTTTATGTTTTTTTCCCCTCTATTCCAATAGCACAATTTCTAAAGTTATTAAATACCTGCATTCAAGAGTACATGTCAGAATCCTATATCTGATTATAAACTGCTTTTTGGAAAGGATCAAAACAAGACAATTGTCTGTGGATGACAAAAGTCTGAAGACAGCTACTATTAGTCACAATTGACTATGAATTTTGGTTACATGTGTGGCATACAACAATTGTACATAACATGTATATACTAAGTCATATCAGAATCATGAGTTTCCCATAACTTTGGAACATACACCAATAACATTTATACAAATACAGCCCAAAGAAAGGCAAATACCATTTCATAATTGACAATGCTTCCTGTATGACTTTTATACCAAATAAGCCAAATGTGTCATTTTTGGACATCAGGGGACTTAATATCTAAAAGATTTTGGAAAGTTTGTCAAATATTAAAGGTTTAAAGCACTGGATATCATAAAATACGATCACGGGTTATTCATTTAGTCAAAGTGGTAACTCAAAACTTTTTTAAAAAGGTAAAACCCTTTACTCTGAAGAAGATTCAGCTTTCCAAGCAAGACCAAATGACGATAGCATGAGGCCAACTGAATCTGTCTCCTCTCTCTTCTTTTTTTGTAGTTTACTCAAAAGGCAAGCAAAAATCTTTAATTTTACTTATTTATTTTTGTTTTGTGACACTGTCTTGCTCTGTCACCCAGGCTAAAGTGCAGTAATGCGATCTCAGCTCACTGCAACCTCCGCCTCCTGGATGAAAGTGATTTTCCTGCCTCAGGCTCCTGAGCAGCTGGGATTAAAGGTGTGTGTCACCATGCCTGGCTAAGTTTTGTATTTTTAGTAGAGGCAGGGTTTCACCATGTTGGCCAGGCTGGTCTCAAACTCCTGATTTCAAGTGATCCACCCGCCTCAGCCTCCCAAAGTGATGGGATTACAGGCAGGAGCCACCATGCCCGGCCTTTTTATTATCTCTTAATATTATATTTTTCAAAACAAAATCAAATTTTATTTATGCATTAGTGCAGTTTTGTTTTTTTTTTGTTTGTTTTTTTTTGAGATGGAGTCTCTCTCTGTCGCCCAGGCTAGAGTGCAGTAGTGCAATCTTGGCTCGCTGCAACCTCAATACTCCTGGTTTTGCAATACTCCTGCCTCAACCTCCCGAGTAGCTGGGATTATAGGCTCGTTCCACGACGCCCGGCTAATTTTTTCTAGTTTTAGTAGAGACGGGGTTTCACTGTGTTAGTCAGGATGATCTTGATCTCCTGACCTCGTGATCCGCCCGCCTCGGCCTCCCAAAGTGCTGGAATTACAGGTGCAGGTGTGAGCTACTGCGCCCAACCATTTTTTTTTTTTCTTTTTTTTTTAAAGATGGAGTCCCACTCTGTCACCTGGGCTGGAGTATAGTGGCATAATCTTGGTTCACTGCAACCTCCACCCCCCGAGCTCAAGCAATCCTCCCACCTCAGCCTCCCAAGTAGTTGGGACCACAGATGTGTGTCACCACACCCAGCTAAGTTTCTGAATTTTTGGTAGAGACAGGGTTTCACCATTTTGCCCGGGCAGGTGTCAAACTCCTGAGCTCAAGTGATCCACCTGACTTGGCCTCCCAAAGTGCTGGGATTACAAGCATAAGCCACCACACCCAGCCCATTAGTGTATCTTTAATGCTAAAGCTAGTTTTAAACAAAATTTTATAAATCTATCCAGTTCTAATTTGTTTGACCATAAGGTAAGATTTTCATAAACTTTTTATAATTTTTGCCTTGTTAAAGAACAAATCAATATTCCAGAAACCCTACTATTTTGACATATGGGCTGAGATTCCGGCCCTGTATCAGTGTGCTTTTAATATTTAATTTATGGAAGAGCTAAATATCCTTTTAATTTTAGTTAAGTTGCTCACACACAGAATTGTTTACAAATTTATTATTATTTTTTTTGAGATGGAGTCTTACTCTGTCTCCCAGGCCGGAGTGCATTGGCGCGATCTGGGCTCACTGCAACCTCCACCTCCAGGGTTCAAGCAATTATCCTGCCTCAGCCTCCTGAGTAGCTGGGACTACAGGTGCACGCCTGTAAACAAACAGGTGCACGCCTGTAAACAAACAGGTGTACGCCTGTAAACAAACAGGTGTATGTTTAATAGAGATGGGGTTTCATCATGTTGGCCAAGCTGGTCTTGAACTCCTGACCTCATGATCCACCTGCCTTGGCCTCCCAAAATGCTGAGATTATGGGCATGAGCCACCGCACCTGGCCTACAAATTTAATTTTTTATAAACTTTACCACATGCTTAAACTTTCAGTTTTATCCTAATTTTTTACTCCTTTAATCTAGGCCAAAGAAAAAAAGGAAAATCTACATTCCCATGCGTTATAATCTTTTACCAAAAACATATTTCACTTTCCTTACACATCCTGCATATGAAACTGTTTTTTCAGTAGAGTCAATTACATGTTACAGTGTTAACTCTTAGCAACTTTTATTTTTGTTGAAAAACTTGGCAAGTAAGCGATTTTAATTATGTACTAGGTGTGAAGCCTACGAACCTTTGTGAGAAGCAGTATTGTGGTAGAAAAACTTAAATTGTAATTGACGAACTGCTGAAGGCTGAATGGGGACAAGGTTCAGAGGTAAAACCTCTAGGGAGCTCAGTCTTAACAAAAAGCAAATGTTTAGCAAAATTTAAAACTTTTGCCCATGAGAGGCACTACAGAGGGAAAAGGCACCCTACCGAAATGGGAAAGTTTCCCTCATCCCCTTAGCAGGTGTGCGATGGGGGTGTGACTTGCTTCTACAGTGCCCTGTTGCTCAAACCTCTAGGGAAGCATACAGATGGGCAGGCTGTGAGGCTCTGACCCCACAGCAGTGTCGAGTGGTGAATGTTTCCAGCTCCTGAAGCCCCAGTGGGTGTGTGTTACAGGGTGCTCTCTTAGTCTGCCTGGAGGCAGCTTGTGTTCATGAGCTCAATGAGACCCTCTACCTTGTTGCAAGGACAGAGGGCTTTCTGTATCCCAGGTTCTTGCCTTAGTGAACCGGAAGAATCAGATCACACATGGGCGTGGAGAATGAGCGAAAAGTTTTATTGAGTGGAAGTGATGGGGGAGCCAGAAGCGAGAGGCTCTTCCCGGGAGTTGGGCTGCTTGATGGCCCCGGCTCGGCCAAACTCTGCCTTGTCCCGCCAGTCCCGCCAGTTGATGGGCTGCCTCGTCCACCAGCTGATAGCCTGCTGGCGTGCCAGTGCCTGTCAGTGTGCTCTTCTGCTGGCGTGCTCCTCTTGACAACCAGCTGCTTGTGTGTCTGCCCACTAGGGTCTGGGGTTTTTATAGGCCCAGGATGGGGCATGGTGGGCCAGGGTGGTCTTGGGAAATGCAACATTTGGGCAGGAAATGACTGTCCTCACCTAGGTCTGTCGGGGTAGAGCCCTAGCCAGGGATCACACCCTCCTCTACCCAGCACTTTCCTTACCCTCTTCCGTATTATTTAAAGGGATCACGCTCTTCCCTTCCCGAAACGTCTGTATTGCCATGACACTGGAGCAAATATAAGCAAGTCAT